AGTAAATTTAATTCAGAAAAGGTATTTCATTTCTAAATTATTATAGATTTGTTAAATCACATATGCTAGAATCCAAGGAGTAGAAGAATTATAAGGACATTTTCAATATTCTACAATAATGTAAGAAAAAGATAGAAGATTAAAACCTATATTTAAATAAAGTTCAGAGTAAAAGTTAAAAAGAAAATGATAATTTGTTTCAATTAATTGTAAAATCTCATCAATTTTTATATTCTATATATTTCTTTTAACAAAAATTAAAGCATTTCTTTTCATTCTCATTAATTAATTATTTTATTAATAATCCTAAAATTTCTTAGAATATTAAAAAAATATATACTAAAAATATTTAAAATTAATATCACATAATACGAATTATTTAAATCAAAGTAATATTCAATTGATTCATTCATAAATCTTAGTATATATATAGGATTGTGTTATATGAGATTCTTTGATCTAATAATAATTAGCCTTAAATGAAAAGTCTTATCATTTGTGCATTTTTATCTATTGTGTAGTGTTGGTGGGATATGGGACACATGATGACTGCTTAAATAGCTAAAAATCAATTAAAAGATAAAAGACCAGATGTTTTAGCTTGGGCAGATTCTCTAGTTTAGGATTTCAATCATCTCACTGATGGTCGCACAAACACTTTTGTTGAAGCAGCTGTATGGATGGATGATATAAAAGAGACAGGAACCTCTTTTCTTAATGATTGGCATTATACAGATAAACCAATCAATCCTGATGGGTATAGAATATATATTATATAAATCTAGACTCCTAATCAAAATTGAAGATCAAGGAAGGAACATTAATTCAATTTATGCAATTAATCAAGCTACATCTGTTTTGACTAATAGTAAGACTGCTAAGAATCGTCATACTGTATTTAAAGCTTAGATGTTGAGAGTCTTACTTCATGTAATAGGAGATATGCATTAACCATTACATGACACTACATTTTGGAATGATACTTTTCCAAATGGAGATGCTGGAGGCAATTTCATGAAGATTCAAGTATGATATTTCATAAGATTTAGTTAAAAAATGGTACATTTGTAAATTTCCACTCCTATTGGGATTCTGTGGCCTTCACTATGGCTTCAAATGCTACATACATGTCTAGACCATTATCTTAATCAGATAATGAATATCTTGATAAGTGGTCAAATGACATAATTTAAAAATTCCCGATTAATAAATATTCGAATTATGATATGACGTATTTGACGTATTATAACATAGTAATCCTACAGTGTGGTCATTATTGGGATTCAGATAGGCTTAATAATTTGTTTATCCTATGCTATAGAAATCTAACACATACAATAGTGATTATGAAAAATAGGCTATTGAATTTTGTTAAGAAAATCTTGCAATTGGAGGGTATAGATTGGCATCAAAATTAATTGAGATTTATGATTAAATCCTATAAAATGAAGCTAAGACGTCGATAGCAGAATGAAACATAATATATTTATATGATTTCTAAATAGAGTTTGTACTTAATAAAAAATCTCATTGTTAAAATAAGAAATTAAATTAATTATGTTATTTAAATAATACAATTAATTTCTATATTAAATAAATGAATAAGGATGGTAAAGGTGAAATTGATGTGGATAATATAATTGAAAGGTTGCTAAGTGTAAGAGGAAGTAAGCCAGGAAAGAATGTGAATCTAAGTGAAGCTGAAGTAAGAGGTCTTTGCATCAAAGCAAGAGATATTTTCATATCTCAACCTATTTTATTAGAATTGGAAGCTCCTTTAAAAATATGTGGTAGATATCTAATCATTTATTTATTTAGGAGATGTACATGGATAATATTTTGATTTATTGAGACTTTTTGAATACGGAGGGTATCCACCTGAAAGCAATTATTTATTCTTAGGTGATTATGTAGATAGAGGTTTAAATTAATTTTAATTTTAGGTAAATAATCATTGGAGACTATATGTTTATTATTAGCATATAAGATTAAGTATCCTGAAAACTTCTTTCTTTTGAGGGGTAATCATGAATGTGCATCAATAAATAGAATCTATGGATTTTATGATGAATGTAAAAAATTATCGATTAATAGGCAAAAGAAGATACACAATCAAATTATGGAAAACATTTACAGATTGTTTTAATTGTTTACCAGTTGCAGCATTGATAGATGAAAAAATCTTATGTATGCATGGAGGATTATCACCTGAACTTTCAAATTTGGAATAAATAAGACGAATAATGAGACCAACAGATGTGCCAGACACTGGATTATTGTGTGATTTATTATGGTCAGATCCTGATAAAGATGTGTAAGGTTGGGCAGATAATGAGAGAGGTGTATCATATGTATTCAGTTAAGAAATTGTTCAAGTGTTCTTAAAAAAACATGAATTAGATTTAATATGTAGAGCTCATTAAGTATTAAAATTAATTATTCTTAGGTTGTAGAAGATGGATATGAATTCTTTTCAAAAAGATAATTAGTCACTTTATTTTCAGCACCAAACTATTGTGGAGAATTTGATAATGCTGGTATTATGATAATTCTATAAAATTATAGGTTCTATGATGTCAATTGATGAATCCTTAATGTGTTCTTTCTAAATTCTAAAACCAGCTGAATAAGGTTAAGGAGCAGCTTAATAACATAAAACTGGTAATGCCAAGTTTGTAAATTGATTTAAATTAATTTTATTTTACAAATTTTTCATTACATTTATTTATTTATATATATCATTATCATAAGGTTGGTATACTACCTTCCATAATTAATTTTCTTGTATTATCGAAAACTTCTTCTGGATCTACTTTTACTTGTGCAACACCACTTTCCATAGCTGCAATTGCAACTGCTCTAGCAACATTTGCTGGAATCTCAGCAGTTAAAGCACCAGGTAAAATTCTGATTGGTGATAATTCATTTTCTTTGATACTATTAGCTATAGCATATGCTGCTGCAATCTTTAATATAAATTAATATAAGATACCTTCATTTATAAATTGATCTCTTTGGCTTTAGTATCAATAGCTCCTCTAAATATTCCTGGAAAAGCCAATGAGTTATTAACTTAATTATTAAAATCAGATCTTCCAGTAGCAACAATAAATGCTCCTGCTTTAATGGCTTCATCTGGCATTATTTCTGGAATAGGATTCGCTAATGCTAGAATAAATGGATCCTTATTCATAGTTCGTACCATATCTTATGTTAATGCTCCCTAAGATAAATCTCAATAATAAGATATACAGCACTAGAGACACCGACAAATAAATCTCTTCCTTTGACAGCATCTTCAAGTTTACCAGCTATTTTATTTTTATTTGTAAATTTAGCTAGATCATTTTTAAATGAATTCATATTTTTTGGTCTTCCTTCATATATGACTCCTTCAGTATCACAAATTAATATATCCTCTACACCATGACCATGAAGTAACTTACAAATTGCAACACCTGCAGCACTAAGAAAATAATTTTATATAATACCCTGCTCCATTAATGACTAATTTCAAATCTTTTACATTTTTCTTGGTTAATTTCAAGTAATTGATTAGTGCAGCTAAACTGACAACAGCAGTACCATGCTAATCATCATGCATCAAAGGAATATGAATGCTATGGATAGCTTCTTCTTCTATTGGGAAACAATCAGGTGCTCTTAGATCTTCTAAATTAATTGCTGAAAATATTGGTGCAATGCTAAATATATATATATAATATTTATTACAATCTTATTAATTATACTAATTTATGAGGGTCTCTTTCTTTGAAACAGATTGGCATCAAATCTATACCACCTAAAGCATTAAATAATACTGATTTTCCTTCCATTACTGGTGATCCTGCAGAGGGTCCAATGTTACCAAGTCCAAGAATAGCAGTTCCATTTGTTACAATAGCAGCATAATTCTTTTTAATTGTCACTTCACGAATTTTCTTAGGATCAGCTTCAAATAATTTTTGAATTTCTAAAATATCATTATTTCTATAAGAAAGTTCATAGATTCTATATAAATCTTCTAAAGATCTTGGATTAAATTTCAAAGCAATAGTAATAACACCATTGTATCTTTTATGTAATTCCAGTGAATTTTAATTAATATCATTATTTTATAAGAATTATTTTGGTGTCCATCTATTGTAATATGCAATTTCTCCATACAAATACAAATCATTTAATTTGGATACAAATTAAGAAGGAGTTGTATTTTTTACAGTATGATGAAATAATCCATTTTTATGAATCTCATTCAAACTAACTGCATAGGCAGAACTTAGAGTAACTGTTAAGTAGCTAGGTAACTATGTGAAATCTAGATCTTTTAGTTTGAGTCTAATTTGTTCGATTTGAGTTGGTTTCAAAATAGAACGAGAATCAAGAACACTCTTTATAAGAGCCGCATCTTTTAATTATTCAACTAAAGAATGAGTGTTGCTTATAACAACAGTACAATCTAATTTAGCATTTTCCAATTTCTACAAAATTTCTTGAGTTAACTTTTCTTCAATATCCACTAATACTATTGTCTAAAAATAGAAAAGGATAATACTTTATATGTTGTAGATAGATTATCTAGGATAAGCAAGTAATCATCTGACCCATTCATGATTTCCTTATCTAAAATAACAGGGTAAGCATCTATATCATAAAAGGCTTTGTATAGGGCACTGATGGCTTCAAGATTTGGAATCATCCAACTAGGCTTCTTGATTTAAGATCCTAATATATGGTGAAAGCATATACTTGATCCATCTGATAGAAGAGCAACTGAATTGCCTGTAATGGTAAGATCATATAATAGATCTGGATTCTTTTGAATGACTTGACAAATGTATCCAACTCCAGGTGAATATACAAGAGAGAGTGTGTAATTATCAGTAATTCTGATTTTTGGCTTTATTGATATAAGGCCATTTGTTCTTAAGAATAATTACTTCAAACCAGGTTACATTGTATGTAAAGAATTTCTTATTTCTAAAAATATATTAATTAAAATGGAATTATTGTAAGTAACACAATAATGTGTTTCAAGAGTGGTTGGCTTATTCAAGGGTCAAACTGATGATAAATCTCTGGAAGCTCATAAGAATTTGTATGATCTCCATAAACACTATGAGGAAGCATTTTATTTGATTGAGAACAAGATCCCTATTACCAAAATTCCAGTCTAAGCTAATAAAGCTATATATATAATAACAGAATCGAACTAAAAAGTTAGTAAAGTGTATAAGGCAAATAATTATATATGTAATTGTGATAAATTCAACGCTCGTGAATTCTAATTCTGTCCTCATATTTTAGCTGCAATGATTGCAGATGAATTAGAGATATGTACATCTCAAGTTAGAATTACAGGTGAAGAATACCTTGGACATATAAAATCATTTTGAATTCCATTTATATACTTCTATAAACATCTTTATATTAAACTATTCTTTATTCATTCTAGTACTAATTATTTTTAAACTCTTTGTATTACGTGTATATTAAATAATTTAATGAAATTGTTCCTACTTTTAGTACTAATTCTTTTAGTTTCTTAAGGAAGAAAAATCATTAAAAAACATGTTAAGAGTGAAAGATATTCTAGATAATCTGAATTTGATTCAAATTAATAAAATAATGATGATTTCATTGATAAATTTAGTGAATCAGAAATCTAAATTTCAGAGCATTTATCAATAGGAGAAGATATAATTAACATAATAAATTAACAATCAATTGAATATGAAAATTAAGTTCAAAATCCAAATACAGATTAACAATAATAATAAGAATAATAATAATAATAATAATAAGAAGATATAACATAATCATAAGAAATTATATATGAACAATCAGATCAATTAGATCTTGAATCAGTTGAATTTGACTAATTACTATAATCGTTAGCAAATGATGGTCATGACTTCGATATTGAAATACCTATTATTAAAAAAGATGTTATATAAAATAATATAAATGAAGAATTAATTGAAACAAAACTTGAAGATTTAATTTAAGATCAATAGAATGATTAATAAAATAGCGATTAAATTGAATAGACTAATTATGAAAATGATTAAAATACTATTCATTCTATTGATATTGAAGAACCAAACTAATAATAAGATGAATTAAAATAATCTGAATAGATAGAAACATTGTAAGAATAATAAGAATAATTGTAATAATAAGAATAATAATAATAAGAGTAATAAGAATAATAATTATAAGAATAATAGTAATAATAATAATAGTAACAAGAATAATAAGAATAATAAGAATAATAGTAATAATAATAATAATAAGAATAATAGTAATAGTAATAATAAGATATTGAAATTCCTATTTAAATAGATTAGATCAATTTAAATGATTAGTCATAATCTATAGATATCAATAATTAAGATGATTCAGTATTGAATGAGCAAGATTAATAGAATTAAATTTAAGAAAATGAGGTGCTAATAATATAATAGACTGAGCCTGTATTAGATAATTAAATTGATGATATATCTATAATCTAATAAAACGAAAATTATTTAGAATAATAGAAAATAGAGGATCTTGAGCAAGTTGTTAATTAATCTTAAGATATTGATTAGGATTAATCAAATAATGATTAAATTATCAATCATTAAGATGCTGAATAAGAAATTGAATAAATTTATATTGAAAATACATAAGAAAATTCATAATAAACTGATCAATCAACAATATTAACTAATGAACAAATTTAAGATAACAATCCTGAAAATCTAGAATAAATATTAAATTAAGATCATGAAGATAATTTGCAATAACAAAATGAAATATTAGAAGATAATATATATAATACTGAGACTATATAAGAAAATAATGTATAATAATTAGAAAATTAAGAAAGTGATCCAATTATTGAAAATAATGATAACATTCAAAACTAAGATAATAATTAATAATTATAATAAGAGTAAATATAAATAAATGAAGAAATAATAACTAGTTTAGATGACTAATAAATTTAATAATAAGAATAAATATTAAATCAAAATTAAGATTAAGAAATTAATGAAAATGTTTAATAGACTACGGAATAAATACTTAGAGATGAAAATTAGGATTAAATTCCAGAAATTTAAGTATAAGATTAATTAAATGAAAATTAAATTAATAATAATGTTTAAAATGAAGATTAAATATAAACAGAATAAATATAAGATTAAGAGAATATTTTGATTGATCCTCATGCAAAAGAATATGATATACATAATGGGCATTTAAATCATGATCATAATCATGACCATGATAATAATCATGAAAATGATCACTATAATCATAATCACTATAATCATAATCATAATGAACATATTCATGATGAAACATTCAATAATTAAAATGATAATCAACCTAATGATCCAAATAGTTCAATATCATAATAACCTTCTTGTTCATTCGATGATAAATTATCATGTTCAGGAAATAGTAATACATAATTTAGTACTGGAATAGAGACAGAAAGTTATCCATAAAATTAAGAATAATTATTATAATACCTTCTAACTCATTCCTATTTATAATATTATACTAATTATCCTTTGTATTTTTTTGGAATTTTGGCTAATGTTTTTCTATTTTCTTTAGTGATTTTAAAAAATGTTTTAACTAAAACATAAACTCCTTATTCAGTAATATTTATCCAATTATCTTTTAGACATAAATTAGTGATGAATAATATAATGAAGTCAATGTAGATAATTCATAAATTTAATTTTAAATTAATTAATTAGATAATACATTATCAGATATAAATACAAAATTAGATACTTTATCAAAATCTTACCTTAAAATGTAAAAGGATCATTAATTGATTAATTAAAGTATTTAATTCTTAATATTAATAGTTATAAATGACCTATAAACAAAAGTATTAGCTAATTTGGAAAAAAGAAAACTAAAAGAATCTTGTAAATCTCTTAATGAAAGTAATGAAGATGATGCAGGTGTAAGATAAAAAAGAACATAAACTCAGGTAAAACCTCGATAACGACCAACAACACCAATTTAAAGATAATATTGATTATGTATATTTAATTTTAAGAATAAATCCTTTACTAATTAAATATTATATGATTTTTTGGTTGATGTCTCAATTCTGATTCAATAATATATATATATATTTATAAATAAATAAAATGGAAATTGAAGAAAAGTATAACTTATTAATAATTGGGGGAGGACCTGCTTCTGTTAAATTTTTATATAATTTATTCAGAACATCAAGGTTGTATTCATAATTTTATTTAAGACTACCTGAATATATGAATGGATTAGGAATTGGAATAGTGGAAAAGGGGAAATGTTTTGGTTCTGGTAATTTAGAAAATAAAATGAATTACACAACATATCCAGCAACTGAATTATTGAAATTGATGTTCTTTCATAAAACTAACTAAATGATATCAATTTGTAAAGATCTTACAGATACTCAGGCATATAAGACTCTTGTTTAATATGGAGAGAAATGTCCTCCAAAATCATTAGCAGGATTCTTCTTAAGATTATTAGGAAGTGTATTATTGAAACATATATACACTTTAAAAAAATTGCAAATATTTCATTCCCAAAGAGAAGCAATAGCAATCCGACTTTTGGCTGATGGATGGTTTTAAATTAGAACACAGAGTTTATCGTAAAAGTTTTGACATAATTTGTAGAGCTGATACTCAAATAAAAGATAAATACCGAACGATTAAAGCAAGAGTACAATAATTAAATGATTTTTTAAGCACATATTACTTTGTACAGGTAGAGAGTAAACACCAGCAGACATATTTTGTTAGGAATCAGGATTAATTGAAACTCTCAAACAATATCCAAGATACATAGTTGGAAGTGGATAAAAAGCATTTGAATGTGCTGAATTATTACTCAGTGGTCCTGTTATGTATATTAATAATGAACAAATAAATACTTACACTTAAAAAGTATACACTTGTCCATTATGTAAATCTTTGAAATGTTCATGTTTTGGTTCACTTATACCATAAAAATATCTCTGGCATCACACAGTAAGACATCATAATATAAGGATGTTGCATTGCCTGAATACAAAAAAGGAGAATTAAAAATTCATTTTACCAAACCTCCACGACCATATTTTAGTAATCATTAAAATGATTATATAACTGTTCCATAGTCATAGATTAATAAAATGGGAGAAGCCAATTATCTAACTGGATTAAGGGGTAAATCAAAAATCTTATTCTTAAAAATGCTTGCAACTTAGGAAACTAGAGTCTCACTTTCTTAGGATGAACCAAATACAAATCAATTCATTGATGGAAAAGAATGCAAATGTAATCAAATAGAAATTAAGGATACAGATGGAAATTTAGTTGAATTTTAATATAGTTTTGGATTATATTAATTAGATGACAAAGGTAGATTGAAAACATAGAAGGGAAGTCTTAGAAATTTATATTGTTATGGTTCAAATTGTATTACTTAAGAGTAATTGGAAAGAGGATGTTAAGATGAATATGGAGATTGTAGTATAGGATTTGATCAATATGATTTATTCTTTTTAAACATAAAGAATGAAATCATTACACAATGGTTTGACAATAATGAATTTCCATTGACTGCTCAATCTCAAGTGTCTAAGGGTGGTGATTTTGATTCAGATCCAAGTGTTCATTCTGAAGTTGTGGAAACAGAAACATTTGCATTAAATTAATTATAAGAATAATTTAAATAGAAGAAAAAAAAGAAATGACTCAAAATTATAGATTTTTTATGATATAAATTTATAAATAGAAACTATACAAAAGAATATTAAAATACCTATAATCAATCTTTCACTTCTTCTTCTTCTTCTTCCTCCTCTATCTTAAAACAATCCTATTCAATTTTATTATCCCTATATAAGTTGATCATTGTTTTTTTATCAATTAATTCATCAAACATAAGTTCAAATCTATTATTTTCCAATACATTATCAGGAATAAATAGTTTTTTATTCAGAGGCCATTCCTCAAAGAAAGGAGGAGGAAAAATTGGATCTATAGCAATTCTAATTTATAAAGTATAAATTACCTAAACAAATTTTCAACAAGGGTTGGGATTATTTTACTCAAAAGTGGACATGATAATTCTAGACATGGATTTGTATTTGCTTCAATTAACCAAAGTTTAAAATTATCATCTATCATAAAATCTAATCCAAAAAGCTATTAATAATATTATTATTAACATTTACTTCAAAACTATTTGATCTTCTTTAATGATCAATCTTTCCATATGATGCTTTCATCAAATCTAAAGCAATCTATTTCATTTTTGGATAGATATCAACAAAGAAATTTAATTTCTATTCTTTATGAAATGTATCCAGATATCTTTAGTATTCTAAAAATGAAATCTTGTTTCCAAATTCATACTTACCATAATCTTCATCTTTTGATTAAACTGCATCATTTGTTAAATGAATATATTTGTTAAGACACTTGGTAGTAAATTCCTTTGAAGATGTTCTTATATATCCTTCTTAATACCAATATCCTTTTAATATTCCATTCTAAGATGTAAGAAGCATATAACATCTAATATCAAACTTTCTCTTATTATATAAAAATGGATTATCTATGTATTATTAAATTATATAAGTTCTCTATCTCCCATCAGGCTATTCTTCCATTATTATCTTATTTATATCCATTAAGTCTTAACAAACTGTAATTCCATTTCCTCTATTTGTACATTCTCCAGGTTTTACTATCCATAAATTTATTGGTTTCACTTTCTTCTCTTTCCTATAATCCATATAAATTTTCTTCTCTTATTCTCTTATTTCTTCTTGTCTTTTGTTATAATAATCAACAAATTTAAGATATTCTGGATCAACTGTCCCTTATTGAATATGAAAAGTAATTGGAATGTATTTTGTATAATCTTCCTTAATTATTTTAAAATAGTTCCTCATATTATAAAATAAAGCTTTCTTATTTCCCAAATGCCAATTGTCTTACATATGATTATGCATTCTATAATTTCTACTCTCTATTTTAGTTGATGCGTGAAACTAATAATTATAGTTTAATATTGTACTCCTTTGATGTTTAAGAGCAATTTTTCAGAACAATCGCTGAACACTAACTAAGAATCCCATAAATTATTATCTTTCATATAAGCTAATAGTTTTTAAAGTTCAATTTAATTGAATATTCTCTTTAATTAATTTAAATTACTAATTTATTAAAATGATTATTTGGCTTATAAATTAGTGTTAAAGAGTGGAACAGATCTGTGTTTGATGCTCATTTCCAATTCCGAATCACTAGAATCAGCCACTGTATCTTCAATACTTTAAATAAAAGAATCATTATTGTAATTTGAATCATTACTTATAACATTAAATGCTGTTAAATTTTCAATGCAAATGTTTTATTTTAATTGAGTCCATATCATATTGGTTTTGTTAAGATCCATAGTTTCAATTTCTTGCCACCACCATCTCTAACGAAATAAGTTTTTAATCAAACTAGCATTATTTCCTTTTCCAACATAAAAGTAATATGCAGGAATTTCCATTTTGTTTGGTGATTGAATGCATTAATTATTTGAAAAATTTATTTTATTTAAAAAGCATCTATAAGACGTATGCCTTAATTGTAATTTATCTTTTAATAAATTTTATTATTGATTTGAAGAAATTAAAGTTGTTTACTTTTGGTTATTATTATTAGGTTAAGTATTTTATTTGCTAGATATAATCTATAATAATTATTATTATTATTATTATTAAATAGTTTAAGTCTATCTTGGTTTTCTTTTAACTTGAAGTTTCTTCTCTTATGGATCTATCATCTTAATTGAAGATTTTTAGATAGTAAGTACTTTGTTTTGATTTTATGTATATTTTCTTTCTTTTCCTGAATTCTATTTAGAATTTTAGAATATCAATTTTTATGGTTTTTAATTTTTTGACTTTGATCGCTAAGTTGAAGAACCAGATCTGCTAGTCAAATTTTCCTTTTACAGAGTCTTATATATAAATGGTGTAGAAGATGTTCTACATATTTTATCCTTTTCTGGTGATTATACAGGTGTTTTCTTATTGCTTTTTCTCTGAATTCTTGGACTTACTAATTTACTACTTTTGGATGAATATAATTCATTCGACTCCTTCTCTCTAGATTGTATTCGAATTGATGGTTTCTTAGGTATTAACTAAAGAGGAGGTAAAGCCTTTTTGGTTTCTATAGAGTATATAAATTGAAATTACGTTTGTCAATTTCTGAAAAAGATGGATTTGGTTTAAGATTGTAATATGGATGTTCTTGCTTCATATCTGGAGGGAATTCTTTGTTATTAGAGAATGTTTCATTTATGAGTAGATTTTTCATTTTCTTTTTGTTAATGGGAGCTAGTCCTTTGGAGACTAAGCACAACAACATGTCATCAGGATATTTGGGAAGAAGTTTATTTCTATGTGTTAGTTATTAATGATCATTTCTATGGGTATTAGGTACAATCCATTTAGGATGTTGAATTGAATGATAATCTTTGCTGTTATTCAAAGATTCTGACAATTTTGTATTGTATCGGAGTTAGAAGATCATCATATTATTAATTTAATTAATTAAACTCAGACTTTGATATAAAGTAGAAATTTTATTTATTTTGATCTGCAATATTAATTTTAAGATCATAAATTTGATTCATGTCACTTATTATCTATTTCAGATAGAACCTTCTTTTTGTTTATCTTTTCCCTCATAAAACTTAATGTATTAACTCACCATCTCATTTACCTAAGGTTAAGTGACTCTTTCACCATCTCTTTTGATCAATTTTTTAAATAAGCAGAAAACAAGTATAGAGAATAATACAACAAATGTGGTTATAATCAATACATATAGAATTATTGATTATTCTAAAACTGGAGGTTTATAGCCTTCAATTTCTGAACTACATTCAGGAGGTGGTGTTAAAAAACCTATATTGAGATTGTAAAATTACTGTTGCAAATCTCTCCAAAAATACCTTTTCCTGAAAATTAACCTTTGTAAGACATAGCATTGACTAGAACTGATGGAAATACATTCATTCCAGCTACTTAATAAATATGCATTTAGTTTTCTAGTAAAATATTGATTGCATTAGTATAATTTTTAGTTGGTAATGAAGTATTTTAGTCAACAAAAGATTCATCAAAACAATTTTGAATTTCCTTTTTAGGAATCCCTTGTATTTCCATAATCTATTAACTACAAACAGAGTATGCTTATGGTTTAGAACATTTGAAATTGAATTAATCCTAAATCTAAATATTATTATTTACCATATATGAAAACCATTTCTTTGGGTATTTTTAAAATATGCATGTTTATCTTAGAATCTCTTAGACAACATCCCTTCCAGTTGCAATACCTGAACCATCAGGATCAAATACACAATATCTATTTTAGCAAATACAATCAGAATCTCTTTAATTAATTTCTAGAATTGTAGAATTAAAACTCATCATAAAATATACAAGAGTGTAATTGATATTTTAATCTTCCAATTTATTATAATATGGTGCATATTCATCAATAATTCTAAAAGATTCTCCATCTTGAACATTCAATCCAAAAATCACTGATATTTTATCAGTTTAAACAACATCAAATTTTAATAGTAACATAATCTTCTCATCATTAGAATCCTCAATCTAATAGTCTTTTGCTTTTTCTGATAATATAGTAAAATGTTTTTTTTTGATAAATATAGATGGGATTGTTACCTAACATAAAACTTGGAAAATAAACTTAATATCCATAACCATCATCAGCCATAGTAATATCAGATTCTATGGGATCATCATTGTAATTTCCAATAATTGCCATTTAATATCCAGCTTTTTCAGCATTCTTGACTTTAGTAACATGTGAACAGTTCCCTCTTTCAATTAAAATAAAATGAGCTCCATAAGTAGGTTAAATATCACTACATCCATTTCTTGGATAAGCCAAATCTACTAATCCCATTAAACGATGTCCAAATGGTATAATTCTAGTTTTCATATATATAAAAGATAGTGTACCCAAAATTGGAAATACTATAATCAATGTATTCATTAATCAAGTTAGATGGTCTGAGAACTTTAAGTTTGGACTATATAACTGTGATAATACAAATGAGTAGGAGAATTTTATACATAATTAAAAATAATTGTGTCATAGTTTATTAGTTTTAGATTAGATAAATACAATAGACATAAAATGTAGAAATTGTTGATATTTTAAAGATCTACATTATTATTATTCTCCAATTGAACCAATTCCATTATTTCTAAAATTAAAGAAAATTCATGTATTATATTGATTTTTTTGTTAGTAGAAGTGACTTTTACAAAAAACCATTTCCTAATATTGGTTTAAAATCATTAGAAGAGTTGTTTTCAGAAAGAAATGAAATGTAAAATAATAATAATAAAATTGGATTACCTTAAGAAGACAATATAAACTAATAAAACATGACTCATGAATAGACTATTTTAAATCAAAAAAAAATTGAAGATTAGTAATAAATCGAAATGGTAAATTAAAATTTATTAGAAGAGTTTAATGATTCATTTCCAGATTCTAATATAGATTCTTAAAACCTAAATAAAAAATCAATATTTCTTAAAGGTGCTAAAATAGTGAAATAATTGGTTGGTAAGATATTTCATTTCAGAAATACTAACAGAATATATAGTAAAAAAAGGAAAGATATTAAATGCACATGTAAAAAAAATTAATGTTGCAATCTTTATTGTGGATGTTATTAGATATAAAAACATTGCACTAAATCATGTAAATGCAATAAAATTGAATGTCATAATATGCCTAATACAAGTTCTTAATTTTAATAATTAAGATGATATTTTAATTAATAAATTTTTATCTCTATTCCAAAAATGTTGAAATTCGTTTATTTTATTATAATCAAGTTGTACTAGTTCTTCTTTTGGCTTTAGACTTTTATTTAACTGCATAGAACTCTAATTTCTAACATAATGGATTATCTACTGGTAATAAAGCCTTGCAAATTTAATATGCCTTTTTTATTTATATATATATATGTATATACCTTTTAAAAGTATTCTTCACCTGAATAATCCATCTTTATTTTCTCCTTTTATAGAGTCTCAATACCATCTTTGATTATTAGTTCAATAGTATGAGTAGGTACTTTTGCTTTCTAATCAATTGTTAATTAAAAGGCTAATTTATCTCCTTCAACTTATAGGAATTAAATTAATTTCTTTTAATCTTTTCTTTGCAAATCTGGTAATCTCTTACCAGATAAAGTATCTAATTCTAATTATTTCAATAAATTCTATTCTAAAAATCTAACAAATCCATGTGTCTTATAATTATCAAAATGTTATAAATATGTTTTATCTTCTTTAAGAATTAAAGTAAGTATCTCAAATTTTTTGGATGGTGCTATTTTAAATTAAATAGAATACTTAATAATGATAATCCCATCAAAACATCTACATAATTCTTTATCATATTCATAATATTCTATCTTAAATATCCCTATCTAAAAGTTAATTTACAATAATCTGGATTATAAATAGATGTTTAACAAAATTCATAAGCACTTTTAGCTTCTTCTAAGTACTTCATTGTTGAAACTATTTTACTTTAAATCTAAGTGATAATTTTTAATTTAATACAAAATAGATATCTGAATAAGTAGAATATAGATAAGCTAATTAAGGACTATATTCATATGAATATTCTTAACAAAAATTCCTGTAAATTGCAAAAGATTAATTTGCTGCAATTAATGACCATCTGCATACTAGATCAATTGATAATCCTTCATTAATTCCTTCAAGAACTGTTATCTTTGATTAAATGAATGATTTAGTTTCTAAATACTTTTATTCCATAGCTGGAGAACATTTATTTTTGACTTTACTTTCTAAAATCTTAATAGTTTTTTGATTTAATTCTGCTTTAAATGCATTAATTTTAGTTTCAGTATCAGTCTAAATAATAATATTAAATATAATTACAATTAATTATTCTTCTAAATCTTTGACTCTCAATGTAGTTAAAAATTCAGAATACATTCCAGCAATTAATCTTTAAATGTGAGCATTAAATATATGATTTGATCCATATTATTATTATACATATTTTTATATAGCAAACATAGGATCAACTACTTAGGTTAATTTATCAGCAACATTAAGTGATGATTCTAAATAACATAAAAAGGCTTCTGTTTTTAATCTATTAATTTCAAAATATGGTCTAAGTGCACTTTTCATTAATGTTTAATCATAAGAAAATACAAGTTATTTAGTAGTTTCTTATTCAGGTTTTTTGATTTCAAAATATTTTTCAAATTCTAAATTACAAAATATCTAATAATAATAAATATAATAAATATTACTCTTTCATTTTTATTTGTTTTAATTTAAACATTTAATAATTACTATTTATCTTCAATAGTTTGTATCATTAATTAAGATTTTTAAATACCTTTCATATAATCTGCTATAATCAAATCCAAATTCATTTGAATATTTGAATTTAAAGTTATAATTTCTTCAACTTAGGATTATTAACCAAATTTATCCACACTAAAATTAATAATAATAATTATTATTACAAAGATAAATTTGCTTAAGCTAATTTAAAATCTCCTTTCATCATAATTGCTAATGTATGTAAACTTTCAAGATATTAAAACACAGTTCTTAAAAATATTATTTATTTTAATGTTTTAAATTATCTAACATTTAAAAAGAGTTCTTTAATTGGTTCTAGAAGTGCTAATACATTATGTTCATATTTTTCATATATTTAAGAAGTTTAATTTAAAATTTTGAACATTTCTTCTATTTTTAAATCTTTTTTAGTTGTTTTTTAAAATGTTTTTTCACTTTACCATCTTATAGCTACTTTACATAATTATGAGTAAATTAATTAAAACAATTTTTAAGATACATTAGAAGCTGTAGTATCTGCATCTGAATATTATCCAGTATGCATTTAATATATTACTAATTTAACACCTAATTAACATAAAACAACTTAATTCTCTAAAGAAGCTGAATCAATTTATGCCAATGCTGCTTTAATTTATGTCATTTCATTTTATTCAAGAGATTAAGAAAGTAATAATTTACTTACTTCTAAATAATTATTTGTTCTCTTAGTAAAACTTTAAGCCTTCTATACTTATTCAAAGAGATCTTCCATTTATCTTTCATCTGTTTTATCTTCTTTTAAAATATTCAAACGAATTTCATCTGAATAAGCAAAGATTTTAACATTAAAAATTTATAAAGTTTAATAGAAAGATGAATGTGTTGAATTGAATAGAAATGATTTATTTTCAAATAACATTAAAGTAAATTTCAATAATTCTGATGCAAATTCTAATTATTGATTCTTAAGATTTAGATCTAAGATTTTTAATATAACAAATTTGATATCATAATAACTTTCATATTTTTCCTTCTTTATCCAAGGCATTTATTTAAATTCACATAATTAACTAAAAGAATTTCCTCCCAATTAATATTAAACTATAGTTATAATATCAATAGTAGATAAGAGAATCATTT